ATCTCCGTTTTGCAATATCTGAGTTTAATGGCGTAGAGGGACATTTGACTGACTTGATGACAATTTCCTAATTACTTTTTCCACGAGAAATGCTGTAGGATAAATTGTCAACCTTTTGGACAGGAAGCAAAGGGATGGCTTGCCAAGCCACCCAAACCCATATGTCTCAGCATTAGCAAAACAGCTGCTGGGGCTGCTGGCCAGTAGAGCTTAGGGATTGTGTGTGGCACCGAGCGGTCCTATAGCATGGGCAGGAGTGTTTCAACTGAAGGCTGAGAGACCTGGACAACACCCTGCAAGTAAAGGGCATTTGGTGAGTTACCAAGGAGTTATTTAGGGGGGTGGGAATTGAATTGCCTAACAAAATATCCACAGGTGAGTGTGGAAAGCTTTATTAGCTATTAGCATTTCTGGCATATCAGTGTGGGAATGCTTCTTGGTACATCTCAGCTGACAATTCAAGTCCCCTAGAGAACCAGAGTAGGTGGCAGAGCGAGGGCATCTTTCCTGATGCTTCAGGCAATCCTGGGTGGGCCAGAATTGCCCCATGTATAGTCCTGCAGGATAAACCCTGCTCCTGTGTTTCTTCCTGGCACTCAGCCCTGCCCCTGGGTTACTCTGAGCATCAAAGCACCTCCCATACAGGGGCTGTCGAGTCTGTACCTGTCCTCAGGCAACCGCTGACCTGAGCAGGAGAGGGACAGTGTCTGCTGGAGTCGATCCGGAAAGGGGGAAGGCCACCTTCCCTACTGTGATTCCCTCTCTCCCCTCCACAGAAGTCCTCTGGGGCTCAGCTCTTACTACTGCCATTTACAGGACCTTGGTCTCCTCTCTTTTGCCCATCCCTGCTCAGCTGAGCTGTCATGCTGCCTCACTGGCACGTTTCTGATGTCAAACATTAAACCTAGGGACCTTTTAAAAAACAGCAAGTTGCCCTTTCTCTGCCCTTTGAGGATGGCTGTAGTAGATAACTGTCTGGTGCTTCTCAGCCTTCATGGCTGTCAGCAAAAGAAAATTGACGACTGTATGCACTTTGCTTGCTTTATGTTCAGTGGTTGTGACTCCAGCCTCTGGGCCCTTCTAAGCAGAAACCAAATTATTTCATACTTTCAAAAGCCAAGATGGTCCTTCTGTGATGGACAGAGGAAATAAATCCCGGGGGGTCAAAGCCCTGAGACTAACCCTGGAAAGGTAAGCCCCAGCCCTGTTTCAGACAAGATGCAAGAGGTTGTAGGTATAACAGAATGTGCCACAGATAGTTAGAATTAAATTATTTCTTGTTGATTGCCCTGTGATTTCTTCTTAGGTCTGTGCAGGTGGTGAACGTTGCAGCCCATCCGTCTTCCCGCGTTCCCAAGAGCAGCGGGTTCCAGCTCCATGCCTAGGCCTGGCTTTGGCAAACCTGGCTCTCCTCTGCATGACTTTAAGGGCTTTGCTGCATTGAGGTAGATGCTGACGCATGTACTGGTGCTTTGCTGAATAAGGCACCCCCATAGTTTTCCAGATGTCACTGTTTTCTCTCCACCCCACGCTTATTCTGCTGGAGAGAACAACCTGGTTCTGCTCCTCGAGTTTCTCACCGGCAGACCTGCTGCTGCTGGAGTGAAGTTTGTTAACCCTTTGTACCTGCACGCTCCGGCTTTGCCAATGATCAGTCTTAGCCTTGGTTTTCTAAATAGCTCCTCTGCTCAAAGGGTTTTCTGGGGTGTGTGGCACCTTGTGTGTGGCACAGCCTGCTCAAAGGTGGTGTCACTAAGCACTCCCTTTACAACAGGGCTTTTCCAGCGCTCGCTTTTCCAGTGTGGTGCTGTCAAGGGCACAGCGAGAGCTACCTCCATTTCCCTCATGCACAAAGGGGACAAGTGTGCTTGGACAACCTTGCACAGATCAAATCAAAACCTGTGACTGTGCAGCAACATCTGAGCAAGTTGGTGTTTGTAGTTTGCCAGGCAGTTTGCAGCAGAGGTGTGGATGCTCATCTGAGCTGAAGTTACTCTCAGTATAAACCTGACAAATCTCTAAATTGCTGGAGCTCTGCCCCTTTTTACAAGAAAAAAGTCCATATGAATGCTGCAGATTAAATTTCCATCTGCTTTTTCCTACTCTGGGACTAATCCTCAGCAATAAGGATCTGCCAGGTAGATGTGATATGTCCTAACAGTGGCTCACTAGTTTGAGTCAAATGCAGCTCATGCTGCTGGAGGAGATTTGAGGGGAAAGTGAAAAGGTATCTGCCTTGAGAGCATGTGATGTTCTGTCCTGGTACAGATGCAGCAGAAACACACAGAGTTTGTGTCGCTCATCGGTAGTGAAACTTCCACAAGTGCTGCGGTATCGGCATGGCAGCTCTTACAGCTTTACAGTCTGCATGTCCTTCAGTGAACGAGGTCTGAGTTGATGTGGTCTGGATTTACAGGGGAGTTTCAGGGGAATCTAGAAATACTCATTATAAACTTGTCTTATGTTACCTGTCAGTAGGGGAGAAAAAAAAAAAAGTTAAAGCTCTGCCCAGGGGTTAACCATGGACTGCTGGTTAAATCCACACTGAGCTAATGGAAGACAACCAGCTCGTGTGACAATGAACAGGTTTTCTGCCAATAAGCAGAAAACCTGCTAAAATGTGCCTCAAAGGCCCCTCCTAAATGCTGTCGTGGAGCTGTCAGTGGGACTTTTCTCAGCTTGGTTTCTTTGGTGTTTGTGGGGTTTTTTTATTCCCACAACATTAATTTTTCTAAGTATTTTCACAGTGATGCCTGCATGGTTACCCCGGTGTACATTTGGCTCAGCTGGTCATGTGGTCAGGTTACTGCCTACAGCCTGTGAGATACGTTCCTACTCCTCTGCCTTTTCTTGGATTTCCCCACTGACTGTGGATTCTGTATCTCGATCCTGACTTTGTTGTTTTCCAGACTTTCTGGCTGGAGACTTGCTAAATGAGGTGGCTCCTCTGTTCTCCACCATGGTCTCCCACCACTGCTGTGTTTGTCTAAGGCAGCACTTGGACCTTGTTCCTTGCAGGAGCCAAAGGAATTATGTTCAAAAAAAATTAATCTAATTTTTTTTTTGTTCTTGTTTACCCTCTCAACACTTGTCTCCCTGACCTTAATAAACCCTCGCCTCTCAAGGAAGGGAGTTGTTTTCCTTCCAGCCTGGAGGAAAGAAGGTGATACTATTAATTCCAGTTCTGTGTGCCTGGGGTGTGTTCAGCGCTCAAATACTGTTCGTGTCCCTGTACCAGCATTTTTGTCCTGTTTTTGTCTGGGCGTGAAGTTGGAAGGATGGAAACAGTGTCCAGAAGAGGACGGGAGATGACCCCCTTGTCCCCATTGGTTGGGTTGCTGGCAGTTGCCTAAATAACCATCTATTTTTCTCTTCCCAGGCTTCCTTCCCTGCAGTGCCTGGAATTGCTTCCTGCTCCACATGGTGGGTTTGCAGCCCTGAGCACCTGCATTGCTTGCGTGGCCCGTGTCACCCAGGGTGGTAGGTTCCCTTTGCCACAGGGATAGAAGCAGGACAATTAAAACGTCATTAAAGCCTGTCAGAATATAGCACTCTGGCAAACTTTAAAAGAAGCCACGTGTAAAGCAATGCAGTGTTCTCTGCCTAACTCCATTCAGGTTCATTTGATGCATTTGGTAGCCCGAATGAACTGGGGGATCGGCTGGAAGCGAGGGAAGGCCCTGCGGAAGCAGCTTCCCGGCGTGAGCAGAGGGCTGTGCCACAGAGCTCTGCTGCTGCTCGCGGCCCCCAGCGCCAGACGGCCCCGGTATTGTTGCTGCAGCTGGTGTTGTGAATCAGGCCGACGACAAGCGCATCCTACTATCCGGCTATTTCACTACACCAGGGTTGCATCATACCACTCGCTTCGTTCTTCACCCGGCGTCTGAAGTCCTCCTGCCTCTCCCGGAGCATCTTTGATCGTGCTGCATTTAACAGACACCCCCACACACACCCATTTAAGAGACTTCATGTTGATTTGGGCGAGTTAGCGTTTTGGATGAAATAATGAGGTTCTAAAATAAAGCCATTTCTGCTGGGCATGAGTGTGCTGCTGCATCTGTTATTGTGAGAGGAAGCTGGTGTCTACCTTGCAGAAGGTGCTGCATGAGGTGCTGGGGTGAGGCTTTTTCCTTGTCCTCAGCTCCCCTCTCCCTGCTCCTGAGGCTGGCAGCAGCAGCACCGCCTGCGCCCCTGCCTTTTGCCCGGTGCTGCCCAGGCGTTGTGAGGGCTGAGCCACGCTGGTGCAGGCAGGGGAGTGCTGCAGGCAGGGCTGCCTGTCCTCGGCTTTTCGGGTAAGCGGGTGCTTGCTGGCCCGCGTGGGGCTTATGCAATTGTGGATGGCGTCTGCTCGCACACAAACGATACACCAGGGCTGAAGCGAGTCCTCAGGAAGCAAGTTAAAATTTGTGCGTGAATGCAAAAGACAGCCAGAGGCAGCAGCGTAGGCAGCCTGAATTTTCCATTAACTTGCAAAGCACAGGGGGCTGAAATTCAAATGGGTTCTGGTGCTGCCCTCAAATTTTATTGCCTGCTGTCTTCAGCGATCTTATCTTTAAGAGCACATGTGACAGCAAGCTGCAGAAGTATAAAAGATGCACGGCCCTCCCCCTGTCCTCGCCTGCAGGTGGCTGTAGGGTGAACACTGAGCAGCAGCCTGGCCTCAGCTTGTTTTTTGTGTGGTGTGGGGAAGGGTTTAAGTGGCTTCTTAAATCAGGGGTGGGATTTGGGGGGTTTTGAACGCTGGGTGCTCAGCGGTTCCCCCTCCCTGGGCTTGGGGGGGGCGGGGGGGGGACGGGACTGTGGGCATCTCTGCTGCTTGGTACCACAGAGCTGCCAGCTCCAGCCCTGGGCAATCATGAAGGGACTGTACTCTCTGTCCCCCAGCTCCTCCATCCCCCTTTCCAGCCCCTTGGCAACAGCTCCCAGGCAGGAGTATCCCTCCCACCCCTCTGTGTCACACACCCCCCTTCCCCCTGGATTCACCCTGAGAGAAAGGGGCTGTTTCCCTCCTCGTGTCCAGCACAGCTCAGTGCCACAGGCAGCAACTCAGAGGCAGGCCAAGATGGTTTACAGGATCTGCCGGGTCTGGGGCAGTATCCCAAGGAAGGGTGAGGGGGCGTGGGAGTCTTGCTCCCATTTTCCATAATAAATCCTGGTGGGAACTGAATGTTCCTGGGTTGGGGCCAGAGGCAAACTCAGGACTGTGTTTCTCTGCCGATCTGTCCTTGGGACTTAATCTCAAATCCGTTATCACTGCTCCCATCAAGTGCTGGGGGGCAGCGATACTGATTATGGCGGTTTTGATATCCCTTCCAGCTATTTTTTTTCCCCCTGACCAGCTCTGGGTGGTTCGAGCCGATTCCTTTCCCCTGTTAGCAGCTGCAGTGGGTGGGTGCCAGTTGCCTCTCTCCGGTTTTGCCGGGTATAAAGCCAGGGAGCTCCTCTCTGCTCTGGCCCTTGCCCGGCACCTGGGCAGGGGCAATGGCCGAGCTGCCTGTCCCGGAGCTGCCCGCTGCCCCGGCCCGCTGCAGCGGCCGCTTCACCATCAGCACCCTCCTGGGCATGGAGGAGGGCGGCTGGGGTCCCTACGCACCCGCCGAGGGGGCCGGCTGCGACAGCGCCCACCCCACCCACCTCTCCGGCAGCACCCTCTGCACCAGGACCTTCGGCTACAACACGGTGGACGTGGTGCCCGCCTACGAGCACTACGCCAACAGCAAGGGGGTGCGCGATGCCGGGAAGGGCAGGCCCTCGCTGGCGGACCTGCACTCCATCCTCAAGGTAAGGTGGGGTTCCGCCGTGCCGCCAGCACCTCCGGCATCCCCTGCCCGTGCCACCGCTCCCTGCGATGGCCCCGGGACAGCCCCGGGAGGGACAATCCAGCCGTTTCCAGCTGTGTACTCAGCCAGAGCTCTCGCCCCGCCTGCACCTCCTGGGAACGGCTGGCTACCTTCAGCCCTGCCCGCCCTCACCGCCCTTCCCCTGTCCCCACAGCCTGACCCAGGCCACCTCCGCGCCCCGGTGTCCGATCCGCAGCGGAGCAACGGCCTCCCGGAGCCCGGGCTGGAGGAGGCGGCAGGGGAGCCCGGCAGAGCCCCCACGCCGGAGCCCGTCCGCTTTGGGTGGGTGAAGGGTGTGATGGTGAGTGCGACTCATCCCACGGGGAGCATCATCGTGCCCTCCCAACCCCGAAACAGAGGCACGATGTATTTGGCCCTCATCATCATGTTTTTCCCAATATATATATTTTTTCTGTAAGCTTCTGCACTCGGAACGATTCCCCTGTCCTTCGCTGTGGGTTGGTTTTTGCTCAGAGCAGCAGGGGAGGTGGCGTGGCCCCAGCCCTCCCTGGGTGCCTGCACTCTGAGGGCCGCTCCCCCTCTCTGTCCCCCCAGATCCGCTGCATGCTGAACATCTGGGGAGTCATCCTCTACCTGCGCCTACCCTGGATCACGGCCCAGGCGGGAATCGGTGGGTGCTGTGGCACATCGCGGGCAGGATGGCGGCACCGGTGGCCCAAAACACCCATGGGGGGGTGGAAGCCAGCAGCATCGAGCATGGGATGATGTGGCGGGGCTCTGTGGGGCTGGGGGACACGGGAACAAAGCCACGTCCTCTCCCTGCAGCCCTGACATGGCTCATCATCCTGATGTCCGTGACAGTGACCACCATCACCGGCTTGTCCATCTCCGCCATATCCACCAATGGCAAAGTGAAGTCAGGTAGCGTGCGCTCCCAGCACAGCCTCTGGCCACCCCGGGGTGGGTCTTCTCCACCCTGGGGCTGCCCTGTGGATATAAACTCCTAGCGTGGGCTGCAAGGTGCAGGGGGACCCCTGAAAACACATCATGGAGGCAGGTAACACCGCGGCATGTTCCCACCACCTTAGGGGGCACCTACTTCCTCATCTCGCGGAGCCTTGGGCCAGAGCTGGGCGGCTCCATCGGGTTGATCTTCGCCTTCGCAAACGCAGTGGCCGTGGCCATGCACACGGTGGGCTTCGCCGAAACTGTCCGGGACCTGCTGCAGGTGAGAAAGCGGCTCTGTGTGTTCCCCGGGTCCCACGCCTCACCTCCTCCATCCCCACCTCCTCCTCACACACGCTGTATTAATTATCAACATTTATGCTCCTGTTGGGCCACTGATAATCAACCACCAGCTGCTAAAACTTGTAATCCCAGTGGTTTGGTAAGAAAAAGGGTTATTTCCATGTTGTGGGTGGTTTCCCCTCCCCAGGAGCACAATTCCCTCATCGTGGACCCCACCAACGACATCCGCATCATCGGGGTGGTCACTGTGACGGTGCTGCTGGGCATCTCCCTGGCCGGCATGGAGTGGGAGGCCAAGGTAACGCTCACTTCTCCTGCTCACCTTATTCCCCTGGACTGATCAGAGCCATCCCTGCTGCCTGCTGGGCATTCGAGGAGCAGAGGATGACCATAACTCCCCAAAATCAGACAAGGGTTTCTCCTAATCAGCTTTTCACCCTCTTGGTGCCCAAACCCCAACCCCTCAGGTGGCTCTTTCTGGTCTGCCAGGCACAGATACTGTTTTTCCTGGTCATCTTGGTTTCCTTCATAAATTACCTGGTGGGGACAGTGATCCCAGCCACTGCCGAGAAGCAAGCAAAGGGCTTCTTCAGCTACCGAGGTGGGTCCACCATGGGTTGGGGTCACACTCAACAGGTCCATGTGCATCGCTGGAGCCTGGCTCTCTGTGGCTGCTGAGGGAGCAGTTTGCTGTGGGAAGGTGCTCCTCACTGAGACATGTCATTAAAAGAAGGTGTTTTCCTCTCACGGGGGACCCGCCACCCGTGGTGTGCCTCTGTCCAACACTGAGATGCTTCAGCCAGGAGAATGATGGTTGGGAGGCCCCAAATGCTTCTCCTCTGCTTCTTCTCCAGCTGACATTTTTGCCCAGAACTTTGTGCCCAGCTGGCGTGGACCTGAGGGCTCCTTTTTCGGCTTGTTTTCCATTTTCTTCCCGTCAGCAACTGGCATCCTGGCTGGAGCCAACATTTCGGGTGACCTGAAGGTGGGTTTTGACTGTTGCTGCCTGAGCTGGCATTTCTAAGGGCTCAAGCCCCATCTTCCCTGGGGCTTTGGTTTTGATCCAACTTAAATCCCATTTTATTTCTTCTGGAAACTTTGGGGAAGGCTCAGGCAAGAGACGCTCTCTGGTTCTGTGTCGCAGTGAATTAAAATTCATCCTGTCTAGCAGCCACAATTAAAATGCCATTTTAGTGGTTCTGCTGGAAAGCTGTCTGACATCTCTCTGTGACTCCCTTGGGCAGGATCCTGCCGTGGCCATCCCCAAGGGCACTTTGATGGCCATCTTCTGGACCACTGTGTCTTACCTGGTGCTTTCTGCTACGATTGGTATGTGGCACGTCCTTGGGTGAGCTGGGTGGGACCCCCACCCCGAAATGGGCCTGGGAGGATGCAGGGAGTGGGAGCCAGGAGCAAGCTGTGGATGCTGGCACTGATACCTCGGGCGAGAGCTGCAGGTGCCAACCCTCCTTCCTGCTCCCACGGGGGGCAAAGTCATCCTGGGCTGGCATCGCAGCTCACGGCATTGCTCACAGCCATCGTGCAGCAGGGCCGCCCCGTGGCAGGGACCCGGGGAATGTTGCAGGGATGTGGGGCTGGATTGCATGAAACCACAGGGAGATGCCAGCCCCGCTCCAGCCCCCCCGGAGGGCTGCTGGGATGGTGCAGGAGGTGAGTGGGCAGTGCTGCGTGTCCCCGCAGGTGCCTGCGTGGTCCGGGACGCCTCGGGCAGCCTGAACGACAGCGTGCCATTGGGCTCACTGGGCTGCGAGGGACTGGCCTGCAGCTACGGCTGGAACTTCACCGCCTGCGCCCAGCGGCAAAGCTGCCGATACGGGCTCAGCAACTACTACCAGGTAGTACTGAGGGCAGCAGGATGGGGCCCAGGGGCTGTAAATCCCTTAGGGCCAGGGCAGAGGTTGGGGCGCTGGAGGTGCCGAGGTTCCTGACGACCTGTTTTTTGGGCAGAGCATGAGCATGGTGTCTGGATTCGGCCCCCTCATCACGGCAGGGATTTTTGGCGCTACCCTCTCCTCGGCACTGGCTTGCCTTGTCTCAGCCCCCAAAGTCTTCCAGGTGAGGGAGTGGTGTGTCTGTGTCCCCCAGCTAACATTCCTGAGCCTGGCAGCCATGAGCAGCCCTGGGGTGAGTAAGGATGCTGCCACTGGCGAAGGCATGAGGCCAGTTCAGCCCTTGCTCTTATGGGTGCAAGAGCCACCATGATGCTGTCATCCCATGTCCCCAGCAAAGCCAGCTGTCCCCAACGTGTCTCTCCCCACAGTGTCTCTGCAGGGACCAGCTCTACCCTCTCATAGGCTTCTTTGGGAAGGGCTATGGGAGGAACAGCGAGCCCATCCGTGGCTACATGCTCACCTACATCATTGCCATTGGGTTCATCCTCATCGGTGGGTGCTTGCCACCCCAGCGCCCTTCTGGTGCCTGCTGCCAGCCAGGTCGCTCAGTCCCTGCTGCTGACAGCCCTCCCTCCTCCTCCTCTTCCTCCTTCCCGCAGCTGAGCTCAACGCCATCGCCCCCATCATCTCCAACTTCTTCCTCTGTTCCTATGCTCTCATCAACTTCAGCTGCTTCCACGCCTCCATCACCAACTCCCCAGGTGGGCCATGCCGTGCCGCGCCGCGCCATGCCATGCAGCTCCTTGTGCAACTCCCCGCCCCGGCAGCGGCCGCTCTGTGTGTTTGCCTGCAGGCTGGCGACCCTCCTTTCGGTATTACAGCAAGTGGGCCGCGCTCTTTGGGGCCACCGTCTCGGTGGTGATCATGTTCCTGCTGACCTGGTGGGCAGCCCTCATTGCCTTTGGCATTGTCATCTTCCTCCTGGGATACGTCCTCTACAAAAAGCCGGGTATGTGGCAGTAACCCAGCACCGGCGATGCCCCAGGACATGTCTGGCCCCATTGTTAATCCATCTCCCCCATGTAGATGTCAACTGGGGCTCCTCCATGCAAGCCAGCTCGTACAACATGGCCCTCAACTACTCGGTGGGGCTGAGCGAAGTGGATGAGCACATCAAGAACTACAGGCAAGGGCAGCTCAACTTGGTGCTGGGCACAGAGGGAGAGTGATGCAGGGGCAGCCACTGCTGGTGGCAAACCCAGCACAGCCTCATGCCACAGCCACATCCTCACCACCATCCTCAGTAACTGGGAGCCCCAACAAAATGTGGCTGTCTCCAAAATCCCATGTCTTTGCTGTGTGGGCAGAGGTGGGCAGGGCAAAGCTTGCCATCCCCATACCAGGCAGATGTAGACACATTGGTCTCATCTGATATAAAAAGACCAAACACTGAGGCTGAATCCTCAGCCACATGATTTCATCGCATCCTAAAGATACTCCCCATAGTTGTTGCTGGCCAGGCATGGGAGAAGAGATGCAGCTTGTTCCAGAGACGCTCAGTACCTCCAAAGTACCAGCCTGTGCCCATGTTTCTCTCCCTGCCCGCAGGCCGCAGTGCCTGGTGCTGACTGGCCCTCCCAACTTCCGCCCAGCTCTGGTGGATTTCGTGGGGACATTCACCAAGAACCTCAGCCTGATGCTCTGTGGCAACGTGCTGATTGTGAGTCACCTGCAAAAGCCAGTTGGTTCCTTGTCCTGGGGGCTCTGCCCATCTGTGGGCTGGGAAATCCAGATGCGTCCTGGTGGGCTCATGGGATGGGGATTGAAATGTGCCCATTTATGTGCCACTGAATGATGAAATGTTTTGTCTGGAAGCCTCTCCAGCTTGTTAAGCAATACTGATGAAGCACTGGGATGTCCCTGTGGGCTAACGGCTTCCCCTTGACAATTAATTGCTGAAGCAAAGATGCGGTAGGATGGGGCAATTGCTCAGAGGACAGGGGTGGTCCTGCAGCCCTGAAGCCTCATGAGCAACTGGAGACATGGGTGCAGCAAACACCAGCTCGATATAGCCAGGGGACTGCTGGCATTGTGTGCGTTGGCTGTTGACTCCCAAAATCTGCTTTTTCTTGCTGTGATTGCAACCTCCCATGTGTGCAGTGGTTACATCCAGGTCTTGCCAATGATTTGGGAAGAGAAGAGCTGGAGGTCCTTGGCGGCAAGACCATCAGCTGGAAGGGGCTGCCTGTGCCTCAGCCCCTGCCCCTGCTCCCCCCAGGGACCGCGGAAGCAGAAGATGCCGGAGTCCCGGCTGATGGCAGACGGCCACACCAAGTGGCTTGTGAAGAGGAAGATCAAGGCTTTCTACACAGATGTTGTGGCTGAGGATCTCAGAAGTGGCGTCCAAATGCTCATCCAGGTAGGGCCATCCTCAACCATCGACCTTCAGGGTCCCTCCTCTTACATCACAGCTCGGTGGACTCTGAACCCCCTCCCTGATCTCCAGGCCCCCACCTTTGTGTGGCTCCCCTGCAGACTGACACCGCAGAGGGGTCTCACGGGGACATCTATCCGTAGGCTGCCGGCCTTGGGAAGATGAGACCCAACATCCTGGTGCTGGGCTACAAGAGGAATTGGCAGATGGCATCCCCGCAGAGCCTGGAGGACTACGTGGGCATCCTGCAGTACGGCCATGCCGGCTCCTCTGCCCCGGGGGAGTGGCCCCGCGGTGGTGTGCGGGGACGCTGCAGCCACTCGTGCAGGGTCGGGCTGGGGTGGCAGTGCTGCCTGACACAAGCCAGCCACCGTTAACTGCCTTCTCCTCCCTCCTTCCAGTGACGCCTTTGATTTCAAGTATGGTGTGTGCTTAATGAGAATGAAGGAAGGGCTGAATGTTTCCAGAGTGATGCAGGCTCACAGTAAGCAGTTTTGGGCAGCCAGGGATGCTCAGACATATGCCAGAGCTGTAGGACATTCCACCTGGCACCATGTCTCCAGGCGAAGGTCACAGTCCTGGGGGGACATGACTCCTGGGCTGGGACTGAAGGAGATGGGGACAGCTCTTGTCCTCTCTCCCCAGTTAACCCCACGTTTGAGGCAGCAGAGCACCCTGAGGAGAATGGCATCAGTGGCAGAGCAGCCCTGGGCACAGGTTGGTCCTGGCTTGGGGCTGCTGGGAGCAGCCCTGGCTCTGAGGATTATTTTTGGGGATCCAGGTTTGCAGGCAGGGGGTGGGTTCTGAGCAGCGACGGGGAGCAGGGCTGGGACCAGGAGGAAGTGGTGCCTTTCATTCGTGGCCAGTGGTGCCCCTCGCAAACACCAGGACCCTCTTGGCCCAGCAGCAGATCCTATCGCCTTGGCTGGTGAGCAGCAGGCGAGCACCATCTTCCAGAGCGAGCAGGGCAAGAAGACCATTGACATTTACTGGCTCTTTGATGATGGAGGTAACTTCCACCTTTGGCTGCCGCGGCTCTTCGCTGTCCATCTGTCCAGCTAACGCGAATGCAGCAGCTCCACCGTGGTGCCCAGGAGGGCTCGGTCCCTGCGGAATGGTGCCAGGGCATCCCCAGCATCTGGCATCAAGGAAGCACTGGCGAGCCCATGGGGTCGCCGCGTCTCCCATGGGGTGTTTTGGGGACAGGTCTCACGCTGCTCATCCCCTACCTCCTGGGGCGCAAGAAGCGGTGGGGAAAGTGCAAAATCCGGGTGTTCGTCGGCGGGCAGATCAACAGGATGGACGAGGAGAGGAAGGCGTAAGTGCTGGTGGCTGCTGGCACCTGCAGCCCCTCTGAGCCACACGGCCACGGCCGCTGTCCCCATGGGTGGGTGGCAGGAGCTGTGTCCCGCCCCAACCCCCCCAGGCTTTGCCACAAAGGGTCTGTGCTGCTTTGCCTCACTCCTCTGAAAATCAGTGGGACTGCAGAGTGGGAGAAGCCCAAGCACAAACCGAGGACGGCAGCAGTGGTTTCTGCCAGGGCAGGTCCCTGCTGGAGCCATCGTGCCCTGCCAATTTTTGGAAAATGTGCCCTTTTCTCTCTGGTAGGATCGTCTCTCTGCTGAGCAAGTTCCGCCTCGGCTTCCATGAGGTCCACATCCTCCCTGACATCAACCAGAAACCCCGGCCAGAGCAGTAACCACACCCCTCCCCTTCTCCCCCTTCCAGCACCCCAAACCTGCCCAGACCCGATTCCCCGGCACCATCTGCTTGTCTTGCAGCATCAAGAGGTTCGACGACCTGATCGCTCCCTTTAGGCTGAATGATGGCTTCAAAGACGAGGCCACGGTGAATGAGATGAGGCAGGGCTGTCCCTGGAAGATTTCTGATGAGGAGGTCGATAAAAACAGAGCCAAGGTAGCAGTGGTGCCAGGGGGAGCTCCCACAAAGGGTCTCCTGCTTTTGAGACAAAATTCAGTCCTTTTGGAAACAATTATTTTGCATTTCTCGATCCTCTTTGCTCCACAGTCACTCCGACAAGTGAGGCTGAATGAGATTTTGCTGGATTACTCACGGGACGCGGCACTCATCGCCATGTAGGTGCCAGCAACACCCTCGCGCCCATTTCTTGCCCCGTGGAAATGGACCCTCTGGATGTTCACATCCCTCCCCCAATACGGGGTGATCCTGGGCAGAGCCCCCCAGCGCTGTGCTGGGATGGCACTGCACTGCAGGAAAAAGTCCTTGGGAGGCACCAAAGGGTCGGGCCTGGGTCCTATTGGGTTGGGGGGGGGG